ATAATTACTGAAAAAATTGATAGCAAAAATATACAGAGGCTCACAGCTTAAATGATGGAGTCGCTACTTAATAAAAATAGCTTGTGTCAGTGGCTCAATATTTATTGGAGTAAATGCAATACATTTTGGAGAAGGCTATTACCGTATTCTCGTTCTCTTCCGCCAATATTCCCGGTCGATCCTCCTCCAAACCTCTTGATTCCATCGCTCCTCTAAATCCTTCATTCCATGAGCGGCAAGGTCTACCTTTTTCTTCTTCCAGGGGGCTTCCATCTGTAAAGTTTTTGCGGCCAACGTTCGTCAGGCATTCTCAATAGGTGTCCAACCAATTTTAAACCTCTTCTTTCTATGTTGTCAATGACCGTTTCTGTAGCATTCGTGTTGTTTCTTATAGATTCGTTGCTCTTTCTTTCCAGCCTTGATGTTTTACCACTTCTTCTCAAATAATCCATTTCAACTGCCAAAAATCTTCTCTTAAGGTCTGCATTAATTACCTATACTTCATAGCCATAACAAAGAACTGATTGAACCATGGTTTGCCTATTGTTTTTTTTTTTGTTCCTTTTTAAAAAGTTGCGATCATACCATAATGAGTTCAGACATCCTACAATTTTACGTCCCTGATTAAATCGGTGTTTAATTTCGGTTTCTTCCAAGCCGTTCTTATCAAAGAGTGTACATAAATATTTAAATTTTTCCACTAGTTTGATTTTCACGTCCTCGTCTATCAACACTTCAAACCTTGCATCTGAATTGATAACTAAATATTTTGTTTTCTTCATGCTGACTTGTAACCCCCATTTTACATATTTTTTACATATTCTTTATATAGACGCTTTATCATAAATTCTAGATCATAAAAATCTTGAGCTAGGACGACTTGGTCATCCGTAAAGTTCAGGGGCAATAGTACGTCATTTCCTATGGGAATTCCCATTACCTGTCAGTGGTTTTTCCAATTTTGGAGGGCTGCCTCAATATATAAATTAAACAATAAGGGTGACATACTGCATCCCTGTCTTGGTCCTTTAGTTACTTTTATAGGCTCTGATAGTCGATTTCCGATTTTTAGGTAAGTAGTGTTATCCCTGTATACTGTTATGATTATTTTTAAAAGGTATTGACTAATCCGAGTTGTTGTAAAGCTTGCCACAGTGCAAGTCTAGGAACTGTATCATACCCTTTTTCTAGGTCGATGACGGTAAAATGTACTTCGGTACCAACCGCTATTCTTTTTTCTATTAATTGTTGGAGTATAAAAAAGGTATAAGTGCAAGATCTACCAGGCGTAAAACCACTTTGTTCATCGTTAATTAGATGTCCTACATCATCTTGTATTTTTCAATTTATTATCTTTGCTAACAATCTCCCAAAAGTAGCTAGGGCACTTAATCATCTGTAGCAGTTAGGATCTTTTCGATTACCTTTTTTAAAGATGGACACTTGGTGAGCGGTTTTCTGGGTCCTGGAGATCGCCCGTTTTTCATTTTAATTAATACGGTACCGACCTCGTTGTTAGTGAGATTAATGTTACTATTTGTTTGTCTCTCCATACTGTATTTAGCTCTCATATATTCTAATCTGGAGTCTTGGAGTAAATTTTATAGTGATTTTCCCACTTTTCTATAAAAATTAAGTTGCTTTCGTAGTCTGAGAACCACCAATTAAATTTTCAACTTTTGTTCCCAGAAATTGTTTTTTGCTTTTTTTATTTGATTTCGTACTTCTCCGTTTACCATTTGACATGTTGCTCTGTTGATAGATGTTTTATTTGTTAGCCATTCATTATATATTTTGTTTTTTTCTTGTATCATTTCTTTAACGTTTTTTGTCATCCATGGTGCTTCGGGGTGTTTTTTGTCATTGTTCATTGTTCCTAATGCTTCATAAGCAATTTTTTATTATCGTTTTGAGGTTGTTGTATTCGTGTTATACATCTATATTTCTTTCCATCTCCTTTAGTTTGTTTTCTAATCTAGATTGAAAAATATATTGATTACTTGGTTGAAATAAAAGGTGCAATTTATATCTCTTCGTTTTATACTGTGTAGTATTGTTTCTCTCACTTTCGGTGTTCTGTTTGGAGTATTGTTTAAAGGGGCACATACGATTAACTAAAAGAAAGTAGTGATCTGTCTGACAGTTAGATCCTCTTTTTTACTCTGCAGTCTTGGTACTTATGATCGACTTCTGTTGGAAGAAAACAATTACATACTGAAATTAAATTAAAAAAAATTATATTAAATTAAAAAATTAAATTACAATTAAATTAATTGTAAGCAATTATCAATTTCGCCCCTTTGGATTAACTTCACCCCATTTTACAGTAAAAAAACATATCATTGGTTAAAACTTGTTAAATTGGCAACCAAGCAAGAAATATATTGTTATAAAATTGATATAATATTGATATTGTTGTATCATTTTTATAACAGCAATTCATCGAGCAAAAAGACATAAGAGGGAATGTAAAGGTAGTGGGGGCAAACATATTGTTAGACAGGAAGTGCGATCTTTAGAGGTCACATTAAACAAGGAAAGAGAGCCTCTCTCCTTGTTTGACATCAAATGTAGTTGGGTTATGTTATTGTTTGTCCCAAATGTCACAGGAAATCTTATTTATATTGAAGTTTTTTAACAATTGTGTCGCATTTTAGACTATTATCGTTAATAATTAATTACCGACTGTCTATCGCGAAAACACCAACTGTCTTTCAATTCTGATTGGTCTATCAGCTTCGTGTTTTCAACGACGTAACCATGGATACCAATCGCAAAGCAAAGTTTGATGTTTGCCAAAATAATTATTGTAGCTGTATACGTCAAAATGAGTCGTTTCGGTGGTACTTCAAACGAAGTTATAAACCAAAACATTGAAGAAAATATACCGAGTAACACAAAAAATCTAAATCTTATATATGGAGACAATTTATGATGTTCTGTGTGGATCGCAACTACAAATTAGATGCAGAAAAGAACAAGGAAAGACTAGCATTTATTCTAAAAGACAGGGCCTTCAACATACGAAAAATTGATGGTAGTGATTATTTCTGTGAGTATCAGAGATATATTGATCCCTTCAAAGATATAACCTTCAAGGAAGCGAGAGCGGCTCGTGATAGTAAGAAAAAATTGTTGCAAACTGTACCCGATAAAAGGAAAATGAGTTCTGTCGCTATGACTTCGGATTAATATAAAAATATGTGCTTACAATAGGACGAAGACACGCCAGAGGGACTCCAAAGAAGTTTTTTCATATAGCTGCCGTAGAATTAGCTTGGAGAGGTAACGAAGCAAGTTTTTCCATGTTACATTTGTTTAAGATAGAGACTAACAACAGAGGCTGTTTAACAACAGAATTGTATATAACCCGATATTATCCAAAACCCGCCAAGGTGGTGATAAAAACTGTGCAGATAATAAATGGCTTACTCAAAATTTGAAGAATCCTGAAATGTGTCCTGTGAGATTATACCGGAAACTTATATCGAAAAGGGAAACTATTACCAATGATAGACTTTTTCTGACTGTGAATGGCAAGTGGAATAAATATAATAATAGTAATTGGTACAAGAATTGTCCTATTGGTATAAATACAATATCCAAATGGACAGAAATGTCTGCAGAAAAGATAGGATTAGACACTAAAAAAGTGAAAATAACGAATCACTTTAATCGTGCCACTGCAGTTAGTCAGTTACTACAATCTGGCGTTAGTGAACACCAAGCTATGAAAATTACTGGATATGGAAGTTTGAACTTGATGAAACCGTATTTACATCTTAGTGCCGAACATCATCAGAACATAGTGAATACTTTTAGGAATACTCCAAGTACATGGGTAGATTTAAGTTACCTAGATCAAATGTATTATTATTAAATTCCTTCTTCTCATTCTATTGAATTTTTGACCTATCACTTTTTTCATGAAATAGTCTAATAAAATACCACTCGTGATTTAATTTAATTTATAAGTTCCACAAGGAATCTACGTTCCTGTAGTTGGCTGTATACCATGTATTAAAAATTTAATTAAAAATCCTTTGTAAAAGGTATATTTTAGGCCCAAACGGGCTAAGTTAAAAAGACAAAACGTTTTCGGAAACCATGTTCCATCATCAGTGTCTAGGAGTACATGAATGAAGCCACCAAGATTAAATATGTGGGTAAAAACCCGGTTACATATGTTTAATTACATTTAGTTTTAAATTAATGTTGAAATGATATAAGATTACAGAGTTACCGATGGATTTGGTAACATGGCGACATATGACTCCACGTTGAAGTTGCTAGTCCTGAGACGGTATGTCTTCGAGGACTATATGAGTGCAACTGATTTGCACTCATATAGTCCTCGAAGACATACCGTCTCAGGACTAGCAACTTCAACGTGGAGTCATATGTCGCCATGTTACCAAATCCATCGGTAACTCTGTAATCTTATATCATTTCAACATTAATTTAAAACTAAATGTAATTAAACATATGTAACCGGGTTTTTACCCACATATTTAATCTTGGTGGCTTCATTCATGTACTCCTAGACACTGATGATGGAACATGGTTTCCGAAAACGTTTTGTCTTTTTAACTTAGCCCGTTTGGGCCTAAAATATACCTTTTACAAAGGATTTTTAATTAAATTAATTTATAAGTCTTAAAAATCACGAGTAAACTCAACTGAGTTTCTTAAAGAAAACACCACAGTTTTCAAGCAACTCAGTTTCGTTTAGAAGTAAATCGACAGACTTATCGCGAAAATTGAATTACTAGTGGTATAACCATTGATTATTCATTTAAAACCAAAGCATTAATTTTTTATTTTTTTTTATTTCTTTTGTTTTTAGAATAATAGGAATAATATTATATAACAGTGTAAAAAACTTCGTCCATCATATCAAAAGTTAACAATATATTTAAAACTGAAATAAAATATTCAAACAAATTTTTTTATTTGTTGTTTACATGCCAAATTTTTTATTGCGTTAAATTATATTGCAGGAAACACCATACGTGATGATGCATACAGCAAATAATTTCACTGGAAACAGCAGATTTTATGGTTTTTGTATCGATATTCTTGACAGGATATCTCAGGAGGTCGGTTTCGATTATTTACTTGATGTAGTACCAGACCGGAAATATGGAGCACGCGATCCTCATAGTGGAATGTGGAATGGCATGGTATCACAGCTAATGCAACATGTAAGTATATTGCCTAAAGTGCTTTCTTTTAGTGGAATTTATGACTCTATCTTCTAGAGATTTTTAACAGTGTTATTATTTAACCCTCCGTTACTCGCGCCTGTTTCAGGAACGTGTCAACTCGAGGGGTGTCTGCAGCACCCCATTATTTTATCTTACTTTTTATTTAAAGTAATAAAATCCAAACTTTGTTTATATTTCAGGTATATAATGTTAAAAGTTTGTCACAAAATAAAACTATTTCAGCAAATATTGCAATCTACATGTGTAGTCGCTGAATTTTATAAACATAGATTTTAGGAATAAAATTGCACACAACTGAGCAAAAATTAAAAAAATAAATAAATAAAGTAAAAAAGGTGAAAGCAAAAATTTTTTATTATATATAAAGAACAATAAACAAACTTAGAATAAATTTACTGGCCTCGGTAGCATGCATCACATATTGTGTTCATATGGCTCAGGCACATATTTTTATTGCAATTTTTGCAACCAGTCTTACATTTATTGTCTTTTGCTCGTGGACATATAGTGGATCTTGCCTTTTTTACAGGCAAATTATCATTGTTTGTTCCTGCATTACCTAGGACTCTTTTCAAAGAATTTGGAATAGATTGTATTTGTGACCTAGCTTCCATCTGTGATTGTACCAGAGTAAATCCAATCTCTTCTAGATACTTCGATCTGGGAATTTTTTTAGTAGGATTATTAGAGAAATAAACGATGTGGGAATTAATTGCAGCTGTATTTAAAAAATGATAAAATATCCGTAAGGGCCAACGACGACAAGTTCTTGGCACATTATATGTCTGGCATTTTTGGTCTACACTATCAACCCCACTCTTGGTTTTATTATAAAATAATATTTTGTCAGGCTTATTCACATTTGGAGAAACTTCAACTACAGTATTATCATTTATATGCATAGTTGATAATAAAATTACATTTCTATTTTGCTTTGGGCAATATGAAACGAAAGTCATTGGTATTTTTTGATGGAATCCGAAAAGAGATTGCCTAGGAACCTTATTAGTGACAAAGCATGGTGGTATCTCTTTTTGGTTTTTTCTAATTGTACCCATTAACAATGATAATTTATAAGACAGTAATGTTTCTGCTAATGGTATGCTGGTATATCAGTTGTCCGTTGTGATGTTTCTTCCTGAACCGAAGAGTGTACGACACAAACGCTGCACAATATCAATGGGCTTATAGCTAACTTGGAAAGGACCATCTGGCTGCTTTCCAATATAAGGTTCAAATTGTAAAGTATAAAATGTCTTGGAATCACATATAGTGAAAAATTTAATACCATATCGTGCCGGCTTGTTTGGTAGATACTGTCGAAAAGAGTATCTACCCTAAAATTTAAAAGTTGTTCATCAATGGTGGCGAATGCGCTAAGCGAATAATTTGCGATGCAATTATTATTGAACTGATTATACATACTTCTAATGGGAGCAAACTTGTCCAGCAATATTCTTTCTTCGCGGGAATTTATATTGTCAAACCTTAGACATTTTATGAGAAAGTAAAAACGGTTGTAACTCATAGTTTTGTAAAACGTTTGAATTCCAAGCCTTGAAATATCCCACAAATCTTTGATATTCCTATGGCTAGGTTTACAAATGCCAGATAATATTAGTAATTCAACTAAAGCACGAATTTCTGTCTCATTGGTTTCTTTGCAGTCCCTTTTACGTTTGTAATTGGCCGAAAGTTTACTAATAAATATGTTGCTACTTTCTGTAACTTCTTTGATTATGTCTTAGTTATAAACTAATGAAAACATTTAATAACAGACTTACAGTTTCTGGCAATATTGATTGTTCCTGGTCGATGGGAAATTAGATTATGACTTCTAGTTCTCACCTGCTCACGACTCTTCTCCTTTGACCATTTAGTGATTTTGTCTTTTCCAATATAAAAACGATTTCCGTCTTCTTGTTCGTCATCACTTGTCAAGTCCTCGTCACTAGAAGATTCAGTCATAACTTCATGCTCACTATCTGGTTCAGAATCACTTCGTATTTGGGTCAATTCTTCATCTGAAGGATATTCTTCTTCTGATGGTACTTCATCATCGCTCGTACATTCATCAAAAAGTTTGAGTAATCGCGCTTGTTCGGCCTCATATTCGCCTATTTTTCCTAAAAATAATATTGGAAATATTATATAGACAAAGTACATGTTTAGAGTACCATATATGTGTAAAAAGAATAAATATACTTACCGGCAAAAAATAAATATCGATAAACAAAATGTAACTTAACTACTCGCGGGGTGTTTGCAGCACCCCAAGCACTTGCTTACGGTATAACGACTAACAGTACACTGATTAGATTGTTCCAGGTGGTAGAGACGACAAAAATATGCAGCTACACATTCGCACGGTGATGATGATATTATTGCGTAGAAAATATTAACAGTTATATACGCATGGGGTGTTCACAACACCCCGCGCGAGTAACGGTGGGTTAAGAATTTCGAAGTGAATTATTGTGGTGGTTAAAAATTTAATTTTCTTACCAGTATTACATTGAATCATATGTGAATTGTTATAGGTTTTTTACCTCTTCAGGAAGTGCTTTGTTTCTTTGTTTGGGTGGTGTTTTTTATTTCGCTGGCTTTGTGGGTTCTGCCGGTGGTTTGCTTCTTTTACTTATCGGAGGAGCGTACTGGACAATCAGCGGTGAAAGGGATGTTGGTTAACGGTCCTTTTTAAAAATTAAAAAATATTTATGAATATGTAAATTAATATTTATATAATTTGATAAATAGTAAATGTATTGAATCGCGATTCGCGTGAGGGCAGCTGTGGATGTATCCTCTGCTATTGACAGGTATCATTGTCAGTGTATTCATCAGGGAGTTCGTTGCTGGCAAGGGCCAGTAGTATTGTTAGTAGGAAAGGGATTTTAGGTTTAGGTTTTCTTCTGAATACATTGGCGATGGATGAGCAGGTAGTTTTCAATAAGTTCTGGGCTCTGAAGTTTTGGCCTCGGATGGTTTTGATTGTGTAACTCCTGCTAAGAGAGGAAAGCCTCTCATCGGTGGGCTGAATATTTGACAGGTGATAAATAAGGGCGTAGGGGTAGGCGCGGCGTTTGTTGTTCACTCTACGCAGGATTCTGCTCTCCAGTGCCAGCAGAGTTTGTGTGAGATGGCCGCACATTGCCATATAAATGTTTGATCTATACTCGATGACTGGCCTAATACATATCTTATACGTATTTATAAGTAAGCGTTGGTGTTTCTTTCGAACTTACCACCAAGAGCATTGAATAGACCGAGTCTGTTCCTAGCCTTGTTACAGGCTACGTTCAGATCAGTCCCCAGTTTAGTGTTTGTGTAAAGACCACACCGAGGTACTCGATCTGGTCGTGGAGCTGTAGTCGGTCCCCCAAGTCTAAGGTTGTGTTTTTCGGATATGATGAGTGTGATGTATCTGCTGAGACTGGGGTGTCTAGAGAATCAATCATTTGTGTTTTATTTGGGTTAGGTGTTACTCTCCATCTCCCACACCACCTGTCCACCAGGTTAAGGTGATTTTGAGCAAACCCTAGTACTGAGACTATTATCAGATCTCTCGATCAATAGTTATACTGAAAGCAGTTTTAAGTCGGTGGTGCGATGTGCATCGGGGTACGTATTATTAGACTTATGCACCAGGATGACAATACTTTAGTGGTTAGTTGCGCTGCTAAGCAAATAAAATAATTGATTAAATTATTTGAAAATTTATATTTAAATATAAATAATAATTTAAAACAATTATAAAAATATTATTTAAATTTGAAAAATATAGAAAACATAATTATAATGCTTTGCGCTGGTAATGGCGCCATCTATTAATTTTATTTGGAATTTAAAATTCCGAAATAGAGGAAAATTGCTTTGTACTGTGATTTAGTAACCTAAAATTAATAAAATCACATCATTTCATGCAGTAACACATTTTTTTGAAGGTCCTTCAAACGTATTTTGTCCTTCATACGTCTTTTGTGCATGTCCCCAACCTATTACGTCTTTCTCGTTATATTACTTTCATGTTGGATAAAGATTCAAAAAGTTATAAACATAAAGTTTTGTCGAGTAAAGGAACATACGTATTTTTGCAGAATTTATTGATGCAGTAGTTTGTTATTTAAGATGTATATGGCGGCATAAAGTTTGGGTTCGTAAAACATGGTTAATATAGCATTTTAAGTTTGTAAAATTCATATACCTACCTTGAATAGTAATTTATGAAAGAATAAAACAAAATGTTACAGCATGGGCCGATCGACAAGTGGAAAAAAATAAATTAATTTATATATATATATATTATATATATATATATATATATATATATATATATATATATATATATATGTTATGAGGTCTTTCAAAAAATTCATTTTTCTGAAATCTATCAAGAATATTCAATCTTCAGCGCAATTTCTGACCGAAAAATAAACAATTCCTTAATACTGGTGTATTGCTAAGCAACTTTCTGAAAAGAGTACGCAAATCTTTTCAACCTAGGTCGAGAATGTTATTCTATGACTATTTGGTGAAATTTTTATACTGAATCAAGACTGATGCGTTTGAAATTTCTTTAATTACAAGATAAGAGTAGATATCAGATGTTTTTGTCTATTTTTTATCATTTATTTTTACGTACCTACCTAATATTGAATGCGATTATATATTTATATAAATAATATACATTAATCAATTAAATTTAAATATTTATGACCTAATAGTAAAATTCAACTTTTTCGTGGAAAAGTTTAACTAATTCATTTTTCCTGTGTTTCCTATTTTTCCAGGAGGTAAAAATAGCAGTTTTTATTATTTTATCAAATTTCCGCAAATAAAAAAATCAAGCGTACTGTAGAAACCAAAATATTGCAATTTTTCATCGTGTTTTAATTTGAAGTTCCATTCCAAAAAAACGAAGGTCGTACATACGATATTTTACGAGTAATTTAACGGATTTTAACGTTTTACTTTTT